AAAAAAAGGGGGAAATAATGAGAGATAGGATTAACATGCTGCTGAAAGCAAAACAAAGGGGATCAGAAGTTCTGATACTGGGCGCGCTGTGGTTCAGAAAGAAACGTCAGAGGAAATCAGAAGTTCTGGATTGGTACACTCTGAGATCCTGCAAGAAACATTAGAGGGAAAACACAAAAGTTATAGGTTTCTACGTGCTGAACTTCTGAGTGTTAAAACAGTGAGAAAGTCTTAGAAGTTCTGTGTATTAAAACAACAAGGAGAACTCGGAAGTTCAGTATGTGTTAAGACAATGAGTGAACATCAGAAGTTCAGTGTGTGTTAACAACGAGTGAAAATCAGAAGTTCTGAGTGTTAAAACAGTGAGTGAAAACTAGAAGTTCAGTGTGTGTTAACAGCGAGTGAAAATCAGAAGTTCTGTGTGTGTTAAAATGGTGAGGAGAACTCAGAAGTTCTGTGTTACATTTCAACTTTTTCCTCATGTTAATCAGCACATCAGCAATTTATTCAGTTCTTAACAACAGTAAATCAGAAAGATAAAAGCACAACAGTTCATAGAAGTTCTAATCCTAATTCTGAGCCTAGATTTATTCAAGAAGTTCTGATCCATAATTTTTTCTACTTATACAATGATATGAACAACATCAATACTATGATATTTACATATTTAATGATGTTCTGAATGAAAAGATTCAAAGTCAGAAAGACTTACCTTAAACCTGGAACGTGTGTTTGGGACTTGAGCTGGTGCCTTCAGATGTTCTGGAGTCAGCAAGAACAACGAAAGAGAAAATGATAAGTTCTTTGATTCAAAGGGAATAACAAAGGTTTTGTTTAGGATTTGCGAAGGTTTTTCACTGTTTCCTTTTCTCTCTTAGATAATTCTCTCTCTCTCCAAAAGCCAACCCCTTGAACGTGTGATGGAGCAACTTATTTATAGATGGGTTTGTTGTGGTTTTGAGGGGAAAAACAAATGGGATTTTTAACCTTTTTGGCATACTGTTCCATTGCTTTTTAAACACAATTTTTGCATGCTAATTTGGTGCAATTATGGGGTTTGAGAAAAACGCAGGCGTGGGCTGGATCAACAGCACCTTGGAGCGTTGTGGCACCTTGTGGCAGGACTGTACTACAGTAGTGCAGCAGGTTGCTCAAATGAGGTTTTGGGATTTGGTGATGTTCTGATCACAGAAGATCATAGTGAGATTCGAAGGGTGAGGCTCTGATCGAAGCACAAAACATTGCCTCCATATGCTGAAGAGTCACGTTCTGATTGAAGGACATAGTTTCCATACGTTCTGATTGATGAGTCATATTTTGAACCATGTTTGCAAACTCTGATTTCACTTGCGTGAAGACTGGCCCAGAAGTTCTGAAGTATCATATTCTCCTAACACTTAGAAAATTTTCTAAATGTTTAAAAATTTGATTTTTTCAAAGTAATTTCTGACTTCTGATTTTTGATGAACCAATTTCATGTCTTGATGAAATATAATTGTTGAAACTTGATTTTTAATCTAAAAGTCAAAGTTTTACTTTCCAGTGTGCTTTTGACCATTTTGCCCTTGTGAATGATTTTCTTGAAAAATTGTAATTCAAGACTTGAAACTTGATAGAAGCAAACCTGAGGGTCTAGGATAATCCTTTGAGAAACGAGAGGGCAAATTTTAGGGTACAACAATTAACCTAAGGCACCAACTGGGATGGCGCATCCCTTATAGGCATGTCACGTAGCATGCATACCTTCCACCTACACTACGTCTGCCACCTACACTTGCACCTATGTTGCCATCAATCCTGCCACCCTACGCCTGGCCCACGCCACTTTGAATGGCACATGCACTTTAAAGTGCATGGAGGCACCAACCCACTTGGCGCATTGGTGACATATGTTCTGCATGCATAGAAACCCTAACCACCTCATTAACTCATCTCTATATGAATTCGCCTATAAATGTGGTGTCTTAGACACTTGTTTTGCATCAACAATCCTTACTTTCTCTGATATAAACTCTTTCACTGTCTTAAACACTTTCAAATATGGTTCTTCTCAGAATGGGTGATTCTCACAAATGAACAAGACAAAACATTGTCGCGTTTGTAAGTTTTTATCATTTTGTATATTCTTTTATCATATGTATAAAATTATATATAAACTCTTACATTGTTTACATTTTGAATTTAGGATACAAAAAGATTTAGATGTAGCTCACACAACTATATTTCTCCGGACCCATTTATGTCCCATATCTAGAATATATCGGTTTTGGAAATGTTATAAAAATCTCTAAGTGCACGATTGATTCCAAATTTATTCTTGCAATGTTGGAAAGGTGGAGACCCGAGACACACACATTTCTTCTACCAATAGGTGAATGTACCGTCACACTATAGGACGTGTACATGTTATTGGGTCTCTCTATCGATGGTAAGACGGTAAACGGGTCGGTTCAACAACCCAATTCTCTATGCGAGGAATTATTGGGCAAAGATATAGTAGAAGCAATTGGTGCTAGGGGCTTAGGTATATTACTAACTGTACTTTAAAAGCATTATGAGACTCTTGAGTTGAATGAAAATTCGACCGACGAGGAAAAAATAATTAAAGATAGAAATTATATTATGAAACTATTCGGAAGCCTGTTATTTCCCGAAAGTACAGGAAATGGTGTAAATTTTATGTATTTAAGTTTGCTTAGGAACTTTGATAAAACAAGAAAGTATAGTTGGGGTTTCGCTGTTTTAGCCCAACTATACAGTTCATTATGTAAAAACGCAACAAACGACAAATGTACTTCTTTTGGTTGTGCTTTCTTGCTCCAAGCATGGGGTTAGTGGAGAATGGAGTCCCTAAACTCCTTCAACAACAATGCATTCATTTTCCCCTACGCAACAAAGTAAGTCAATAGCTTAAATAATTTATTATTCATCCTTTCGCCAAATAGATGTATAAATTTTTTTTTCATTCATTTGGGTACTGTATGAGGGGTATGAATTACAACAATAGTCCAAGATTTAATGTCGCTCTATACCATAATCTTTTGGATTACATCGGCTCAGATGGTGTATGTGGCACCTCTAAAATTTTCTACTTTTAAATTATTTATTTTTAACGTTTTCATTATTCTGATTAATTTTTATCCATAGTTTATCTAGAGACCATATTTGAGTTTGGACCATAAACCCAACCCTGAGGATGCAGCAGTTTGGACTGCAATGATTGCAATCATACGGTTCAACATTGTAGAGATGCACCACAGCGATTGTGTCAAGATGCAGTTCGGAATGCATTAAGAAATACCATGCGATTCAACTTCTTTGACACTTTGGCATCTCAAAAGGGTAATGGGGTGTTAATAATGGGAAAGATTTTGCTTTAGAATGGTGTAAGATGTGGCATATGCGTCACCAATATGTCTTACAATTTCCTATTTTCCACAACCAGATTAATATGCGACACACATATCAATATATTGATTGATACAAATCTGTTACTAACCCTGAAATACACGTATCTCACCCGAGGTATTTGATTGACCCACGTACACAATATGCACAATCATACACCACACAACAACCCGAACAACAAACCTAACACTCATCAACCTCCCACCAAACACAACGACGATACAGATCCATCAACACCCAACCTCAAACCCAAGACCAATACCAATACAAACACATGCCACACACATAATCACAGTACCAAGAACAACGACCATACATCTGACATCCTATTGAGGACCCCTCGTCATCTCACCTTAGCCCAGACATTGACCAACCTGAATAATATTCACCAACCAACCTAACTTACCATCAATCATCCTATCACCATAGCACCCAACAATCACAGTATCAAACTCCAAAAGATTTATTTCCTTTTTACCCCCCATATTCTGACGACCAGTGCTATCGACCCCCCATGGAACATCATCCCTAACCAATACAACCAAACTTTGAGGGCATGGGTAACCGACTGTTTGAAAGTGGATCTTCCGGATATGATGATCTGTCGGCTTTTATGGATCTTGAACGCATTGACTTCACATGGCCATCGACCCAACCGCAACAGGAAATATGTCGAAATGTATCACGAGTTAGGCGAGGACGCGGGTGCGGAACTACAAGTCGTTATCGAGTCCTTGGAGACAACTAAATAATGTGTAATTTTTATTCTCATTATGTGATCGTTTAATTATTATTGAAAATCAATTTTCATTTGCAACGACATTACCTTTTAATTCTTTAACAAATAAAAAAAAACTTTGTACATAGGCGCTATCTGAGATGACTTATGAGAAATGACATACACTTATATGTCATCTCATTTTACACCTTCTTTAAGAAAATAATGCATGCACCATCTAAAATGATTACTGCATCATAACGTTTTCTGAAACATGATTATTTACGTTGAAATATGATTATTTGTGAATTTTTTTTCAAAACATTGTTATTTATATTTTTTCCATTTTTTAAGTTAAAACTAATATTAGTAGTAGTAACAAATAAATCTGTAAAGAGAAAAGTCAATAAAAAAAACAATCATTTCCGAAAAATAATATAAAATAAAGTCGTGTAAAAAAAAAGTCGTAAATCTTTAAAAGAAAAATCAATAAACATAAATTCACGCGCTGTCTAATAATTACTCATAATTGATTTATTCGCTTCTTTTGACAATCTCCCAATTCATTTTCTAGATAGCGATTCTTTATTGAAATTCAACGCTAAGAAATTTAGAATCCGAGGAAGTCAGGTCCCACTTCAACGTTTAGCACGCACACTCGTATATCATAACCGTTCAAAATCTTTAAACAAATCTCAACCCTCCGATCAAAAAGAATAAAATTAAATTAAAAAATCTTTGACTAACCAAACTTTTTTCTTTCTCTCTCTTATATATATAACCAATCTAACCATTCTCTGTTGTCTCTCTTATTTTTTTCCTTTCATTTCATTTTGATTTCTAACCCTAACTTCTCTTCGTATAGAAAAAAAAAATGGAGTTTGAATTGATGGAATTCCCAAACATAGAAGAAAAGAAAGCAATACTTGAAACTGCTTCAGATAGCATAAACTCCCTCAGCAACTTCGTCGATTTTCTCTCTCATAAACCTTCTCATCTAAACTCCGATCTCACAAACACCACCGTCGCCAACTTCAATAAACTTTCCAGCCTACTCAACCGTACCGGCCGCGCCCGCTTCCGTCGTGCTCCCCTCCCTCAACCGCCACAGAATCTCTATCCCACTCCCGCTCCCTCTACCTCCACAACGCCACCTCAAGTTCAACCTCCTTCTCAGAGTCAGAACCACTCTTTAACTCTTGATTTCACTAAACCTAACATTTTCCGATCTAACCCTAAGTCCTTAGATCTAGAGTTCCATAAAGAAGCCTTCAGCGTTTCCTCTAACTCCTCATTCATGTCCTCCGCCATCACCTGTGACATCACCGGCGACGGCAGCGTTTCAAACGGTAAACAAGGTTCATCTCTCTTCCTTAACACCGTCTCCACCGCTAAACCTCCTCTCTCATCTACATCATTGAAGAACAAATGCCACCACGAACACTCCGACGACTTCTCCGGCAAACGCTCCGGTTCTAATAAGTGCCACTGCATCAAGAAAAGGTAATTATAGTAGCTTCCTTAATAAATTTCAATTTATTTAATTAAATACCGAGTCACAATCATTAATTGACTCGGTATGACTCGATATCGTGGCGGGTGAAGTAACGAATCTTTGTTAATAGTCAACGGTTTTGGTAGTAGTGAAGTTAAAGTTATTAATAATAAATTGTTATTGGTCACGGCACGCGTGACAGCGACAACGACAACATGAGTTTCTTTGTTATGCGCTGCGTTTGTCAACAGACGAATTTTTGGAAATACTGTCTCATAAAAAACAAGGAAAAATCAAATTACCCAAACAGAGCCTGACCCCACTCTCTATCATTTCATATTTTTATTTGTCGTTTAGTTATTCTTATTGCTTTTAAGTTTTGACTAGTGAATGTTACACTAGGTGCATGTTAGCAATTACGGTGAATGATAAGGTTTTGTTTTTGTTTTTCAGGAAAAATCGGATGAAGAGAACGGTGAGAGTACCGGCGGTGAGTTCGAGGATTGCGGATATACCGGCGGATGAATATTCATGGAGGAAGTATGGTCAGAAGCCGATAAAGGGATCATCTTATCCAAGGTGAGAGATAAATTATGTCTATATTTTTCTACGATTATAATTATATGTGAATTATTACTTTTTAAAATTATTATTGATGTTGGTGTGTTAGTTTAGTGTGTAATGTGATGGTTGATTTGTGGCGGTTGATTTGTTTTGACTCTGGTCAAAGAAGTGTTTATTGCCGTTGATTTTTTGACTCTGGTCAAAGCGTGTTTATTGACGTGATTTGTTTTTTCAGGGGTTATTATAGGTGCAGTACAGTGAAAGAGTGTCCTGCGAGGAAAAAGGTGGAGCGAGCGATGGATGATCCAACGATGCTGATTGTAACGTATGAGGAGGAGCATCGTCATGAGATTCATAGTGCGATGCAGGAGAATATTTCCGGGAGTATGAGTTTGGTGGTGTTTGAGTCAACTTTAGGTGGGAATTAGAAATGGGAAATGGGAAATGGGAATATTGGATTTTTTTAGTAGGAAATAGAAACTTAAATGGGAATCAGGGTGGTGGTTACTGGTTACAATGTAAATCTTGTCTGACTAAATTATAACTAATTTTTTAGCACAATTATTACTATGGTTATTGTTAGCATATGACTATTCCTTTATAAAATTTATTTATACGTCAAGTTGCTAATGTGGAGATAGGAGCCTTTAAAAAATATAATTGTGACAGGTAGAGGGTGAAATGTTAATTTGGAATCATGTTATTTTTAAAATAATAAAATCAATATTATTATAAAAAAAATGGGTCAGTATAGAAATAGAAGATAAATGAGCAATAAATTGCGTCGTTATTTCTTTTTAGATTGTAAAATTAATCTCGTTAAAAATTATATTCATAGACTTAGAAAATATAATATTAACATTTTTTTAGTTTTCCGTAAAGATCAACTGCTTCTGGTGTTAGGAAATCAAAAATAATATTGATAACTTTCTCGAAACTGGTTAGAAGAGGCTGCAATATAATTTGAGGAGTATTGTATTTGAGATTGTCACTTTCTCCTTAGCCATCACCCCCTTCTTATAGTCTCAGTGAGGATCATGGATTTTATGGTGTTTATGATAATTACTCCAGAAGTTCTCTTGTCCCCTGTGTCATAATGAGCATTTATCATATTGAATGAGGATGTTTGTGGGCTAGGTCTATGCTGACCAGCTCTGTGGACGGGCTCTATATGGGCGAGCCCTGTGTGGGAGAGCCCTGTTAGGGTGAGCCCTATTAGGAGAGCTCTGTTGGACGAGCTCTATTGAGAGAGCTCTGTTGGGAGAGCTCTATCGGGCGAGTCAGGTTGTTCCCCCTGGTTTGATTGGCGGGGCGTATTTCAAGGGCGGGATGATCCTTTTCCATCCGGGGCCTAGGGCCCAGATGTGCATGAGACCCCGGGACATTTTTAGGTGGTTGGGACGTAAGGCCTAGATGTACACGAGAACCCGAGACTTTTCAGGAGGCATGACACTTAGTTGGGACAGGGGCCGAATATTTATAAGTCCCTCAAGCGTGATGCCTGTTAAGGGCGAAGAGATTAAGAGTTCTATCTGGGGCATATGGCCCAAATGTTCATAAGTCCCTCAAGCGCGAGGCATGTTAAGGGCGAAGCGATTAAGAGTTCTATCCGAGGCATAGACCCCTGATGTTTATAAGTCCATCAAGCGCGAGGCCTATTAAGGGGGAAGCGATTAAGATTTCTATCCGGGACATAGGGCCCGGATGTTCATAAGTACCTCAAGCGCGAGGTCTGTTAACAGCGAAGCGATTAAGAGTTCTATCCGGGGCATATGGCTCAGATGTTCATAAGTCCTTCAAGTGCAAAGCCTGTTAAGGGCGAAGCACTTAAGTGTTTATTTCGCTCAAGGTTTTTTTGTAGCATCTTGTCTATTCTAGAAGTTGCCTAAATGGGAATTCTCTTGTAGCTTTTTGAGTTAGGGTGTAGTTTAATGAATTTGTGGCAAAAATATTTAAAGTGCCATGTCGATGTGACCGGAGAGCTCTCTACGAGTTCACGATGTAAACTTGGTAGTCTCCTCGTGGTGGAGCCTTGTAGGCCGGCTTGGTGGTCTCCTCGTGGTCGAGCCTTGTGGGCGGACTTGGTTTATGGCGAGTCCTTTTCTTCTTAGAGACCTCTTCATGGTCGGGCTCTTGTTGGCCGACTTGTAGTCTCCATGTGGTCGGGCTCTTGTTGGACGACTTATGCTTTTGTTGGCTGACTTGTAGTCTCCCTGCAGTCGGGCTCTTATTGGCCGACTTGTAGCCTCCTTGCAGTCAGACTCTTGTTGGCTGACTTGTAGTCTCCTCGTGGTCGAGCCCTATGGGCTGAGTCATAGTATCCTTGGGATTGGGCTCTTGTTGGCCGACTTGTAGTCTCCTTGCGGCCGGGCTCTTGTTGGCTGACTTATAGTCTCATTACAGTTGAGCCGTGTTTAGCTGACTTGGTGGTCTCTTTGTGGTCGAGCCTTGTGGGCTGACTCGTAGTCTCCTTGCAGTCGGGCTCTTATTGGCTGACTTGTAGTCTCCTCGCGGTTGGGCTCTTGTTGGTTCACTTGTAGTCTCGTTGTGGTCTAGAGCCCGCTTAGGGGTGATCAGGTTCAGAGCCCGCCTGAGAGTGACCAGGTTCAGAGCTCGCATGAGGGTGACCTTCTTGTTTGGTTCAGGGCCCGCTTGGGGGTGACCAGGTTCAGAGTCCTCCTAGGGTGACGTTTTTGGTTCAGATCTCTCTTGGGGGTGACCAGGTTTAGAGTTCGCCCGAGGGTGACCTTTTTGGTTCAAAGCCCGCTTGGAATGACCTTTAAAGTTTGGTTCATAGCCCGCTTGGGGGTGACAAGGTTCAGAGTCCGCATGGGTTGTAACCTTTTTGGTTCAAAGCCTGCTTGGGGGTAACCAAGTTCAGAGCCCACCTAGGGATGACCTTTTTGGTTCAGAGCCCGCTTGGGGTAACCTTTAAAGTTTCGTTCAGAGCCTACTTAGGGGTGACCTTTAAAGTTTGGTTCAGAGTGTCATACTCCAAATTTATCCTACGTATTTAAAATCAATTTTTTATCAAACTCTATGGTTATCATTTTTCTATCAGAGAATTAATGGGCGTTTCTAAATCAGAAAAGTCCATATAAAACTTCAAGTCTTGAATGGTTTATTTTTATTAAGAGTTCTCGGACCTTCCTAAATCAGAAAAGCCCGTATGCAATTGAAATTCCATTCGTTTTCTCTTACAAAAAAAGGGTGTGTTGGTTAAATTGTCGGCCCATTTTAAGGAATGTTGTTTACTTAAAGGGTTATGGATTAAATTGGATAGACACACTAAAGATGATGAAGTTCGTTTTTAAATAGAAAAAGGGGATATATTTTAAGAGGCCCATATCATTTTTTTCCAAAGGCCCATTTAGGCTGAATAAGGGTGAAGAGTCCATAGAATAAATCAGTTTTGCTAGGGCTTAATGATTAGGAGAGGCGGCCCTTTCGATTTTTTGTTTTGTTTTTCAAAAATGATTCTTGTTAATTATATTATTATTATTACCATTATTTTATTTAATTATGCTGGTTGTTTTGTTTTCCAAAAATGTTTCTTGTTAATTGTAACATTATTATTACCATTATTTTATTTAATTATACTGGTTATTTTATTTTTCAAAAATGATTTTTGTTAATTATAACATTATTATTACCATTATTTTATTTAATTATGCTGGTATTTATTACCTTTTTAATTTATTTAAAAATGGTTTTAGTTTTTATTAAAAGAAGACATTGAGGGCTTTATCACCCAGTCCTTTTCTAAAGCCCGAAACAAGTAGGCCCAATTCAAGTGAAAAAAATGTTTGTTTCCACAAACAAACATCTATTGTGTGAATCATGAAGAAATAATGCACGTTTTGTTGCAGTAACAACCACGGTTAAAATTAAGGAAAACAAAATCAAATTGATTCAGAAGCAAAACCCTTATTCATCCATTCATCAAATTGTGCAATGAATTCAATATCTATGCATTCAATTCTCCAGAAAAATAAATAAATCAGAATTTATACAAATTTGCAGACAAAGATAAAATTGCATTCAAACCCCAATAAAATCGTTTACACAATTATAGACAAATTACAAAACTTCCTAAAATAGTGTAATCCCTAAGAACACTATAAATACCTAGACGCTAAGAACAATAGAGGATAATCTACAACAAGAAAGACTATTACAGAAGGGAATAAATTTAAAAAAAAAAATTTACGAAGAGGGAATCTGGAAGAATCAGAAGAAATCCGAAGCCTTGTCGCATCTCCACTCGAGATTTGGGTTTCGAAATCCAAAACCCTAAATCTGTTGAACCACCATCGCAACTTCTGTCTTCATCACCGTCCATCTTCGTCACCATCTTCACCGTCACCCTCACCTGTAAAACAAACGAAGGAGATTAACGAGGCATTTTCTCAGTAGAACAAAGACAGATCATGGTCGAAGGCGATGAGGTAACTTAGCTTATGTGTTTTCTTTTCTTTGTAATGGATATAGCTGGGTTTAATTTTTGGGTTGGATAAACGCCGCCGCCGGGATCCGTTTTTTTTGGGCTAGGGTTTTACATTGTTAGAGAAGAGAAAAATAGAGCGAAGAGAGATGAGAGACGCGAAGAGGAGAGATAGAAATAAACGAAAATGAAAAGAAAATGAAGTTAAAACAAATTATATTATGCAGAAGGATCGTGTGCTTGTCACCCCATGATTATTATCACACACCCTCATCCATATTCATCTGATCATTATCATATGTCCCCCAATACGCACACCCATGATATCCCATGCACCCTCCCATACGGAGTCCATACGGACTCCCTAAACTATCTTGGACCCGACCCATTAGCTTTGCACACCCCTCTCTTGTTTTTGTTTTTTATACAACGCAAAAAACGCACCCCTTGGTTTATTGGGCGAAGTCCAAAATCTGGACTTGGGCCTTGGCTCCTTGCACCCCTCATTTTACTTTATAGTTTAAGAATGTATCCCCTTTTTCTTTTGGGCCTAAATTCAATATCTGAATCCAGGCCTATGCTATTAAGACCTCTTTTTTTTACTAGTCTAACCTAGTCTGCACCCCATGCGTTTTTAATTATTTTATTTTATTTATTTTATTATTTTTATAATCTTATTTTATATCTTATTTTTGTCTTTATATTTTTATTAATTATAATATTATATTATATTATTATTATCATATAAATCATATATATTTTTCAACTCAATAAAAAATATTTTCTATTTATTGCATCAAATTAATTATTTTAAGCATGCATAATAAGATTTTTTTTTTTTACAATTAATACATAAAATATATTTAATCAACGAAAAATTATTTTCGTAAATCAAATTAATCTAACAATTAATCTTCAAAAAAGGTTACGAGTATATTTGAATTGACTGTGTACTTCGTCTAATATCTCTGCTATTCATACACC